AATCTCCCAAAAGAATTTGTTGAAAATGATTAAACCCACATCCTTTTTTGAGGATAATATTTCTAAGTATTAATATTTGGTACGAATCTGTTTGCAAACTGAGGAATTTAAGAAATAACACCTTATTTTCTGTATCTCAGTGTTTTACTCCAAAGCCGCTAACTTATGAGAGTGGCAGATAATTGAACCTTATCATCCTTTCTCTTGCCCTCCCTGTGGGTGACTCACACGGGGCCAGGATGAGCAGGCAAGGAGGCCTCTGAGGTCTCTCTGTCACTGACCACAAGGTTTCCTGCTAAGAAACCATTGACTCTGTTTGTATAGGCCCTTGGAGGCCAACAGCTCTTGAGGCATGAGAACCTGTGTGCCTGGGCTTCCAAATAAGCTGGATTGTCCTGAAGACATAATTAAATCCTGTATTTATAAAGTTCAGCACAAAGGAAATGCTCATGCATCCAGACCTGGGCAAGGCTTTATGATCACTGATTAACCAAGCTCTCTGCCCACTGTCATTCTCCCTTGACTACATCTGACCCCTTTCACCCTCGTCTCTGTCCACTAACACCAGCTTTTGGATGATCTTCACTATAGCAGTGTAAAATACATAAGTTTGCATATTTAAATATAAATTTTCATACATTCGAAGGAAAATTATGCATTTGAACACTATTCAGTGTCTATCGGGAACAAAAGATTTTCTTCTGCACTTTTAAATATCTTTGAACCAGGACTGATGTCTGGAAACACTGAGTTAGCAGCCTTTCTTAAAAGAGTTTCCATTGTACATCTATGCCGTGAAACTCCTAAGTGTATCTTAGAATACATTGGCCCCACATTATAAAAAAAATGGATGCTGCAATATTTGTGTTGACAGACTTAAGTCTCAAGCTTTTTATTTATTTACATGAAAAAATTTACATTTTCAGTTCATAAGTCATGGAATCTAAGCTGGAAACGTACACATAGTGTCTCAAGATAGTTCATGAACATATACCCTCTGCCATCATCACAGAACTTCTAAAATAATAGAAATCTGGGGGCCGGCTCCATGGCCGAGTGGTTAAGTTCACACGCTCGGCTGCGGCGGCCCAGGGTTCGGCTCCTGGGCGCAGACACGGCACCACTCATCAGGCCACGTTGAGGCGACATCCCACATCCCACAACTAGAAGGACCTGCAACTAAGATATACAACTGTGTACAGTGGGGGTTTGGGGAGATAAAGCAGAAAAGAAAAAAGAAGATTGGCAACAGTTGTTAGCTCAGGTGCCAATGTTTAAAAAAAATAAATAAATAAAAATAAAATAATAGAAATCTGCATTTGTTTCGTTTGCTTTTTTGTTCCAACTGTGTCACGTCTCAAAGATTCAGACAGCCCCCATCTTGGCTGTGCCTTATTCCAAATCATACAAGTCACAATCTTCATTCTCAGGACTGTCCTCTACTCAGAACCTCAAATTATATCCCATCAAATTCATTGTAAAGTTCGAATTGGGGTCTCTAATAAGATTCTCACATCCAGTAATCAACCTACCTCCAATTGCTCTTCTTTCCTACTATTTCCCTTGTCATAGCCTCTGCTGAAACCACTTGTTCACCAAAACCCACTGCCTCTGACCTGAAGATTTATAATGTACAACTTACCGTCTGTGTTCCCATTTTTAAAGTTCTTCATTAGTCATTAAGGACATAGAAAATAAACTTTATGATATATTTGTTATAAAAAAAGATGCTGTATTGCAAACCCATATTCCCACCTCCGAGTATAAGAAATAGCACATTACGATTAGCTTTAAAGTCCCCTGGATGTCCTTCCTAAGTCCTCCACCTTTTTCTAACCCTTGATTGGTAACCTTCATCCTGAGTTCATTGTTTATCTCTGCTTTCTTTTCTTTAGTATTATTACGTGCATTTTCCTTCCTATGCAATGTATCATTTAAATTTGAATTTTAATTGACATGAAAGGATTCGTTCTGTCAGTGTTTTTCCATGACATCATTTTGTGCTCAATGTTATGTTCCTGAGATGTATCAATGCATCAGTGTTGTTGCCTTTATCTCTAAGTCTCTCTCTCCCCCCTTTTCTTTTAAACTCTTGTAAAGCATTCCATTTTGTAAATATATCACAATTCCTTTATCCAGTTACTGTCAGTGAGATAGTTCTGTTTTCTCCAAGAATTTTTTCTATTTTTAGTGTACTGCAGTGAACATTCCTGTGCATTTCTTATGGGTCATATTTGCAAGAGTTTCTTTAGGTGCATACCTCCTAGTTCATAGGGTTTGAGCGTTTTAAATTTATTAGACACTGACAACTTATTTTCCAAAATAGTTGTAACAATTTATGCTTGTACCTGCAAGGTACACACATTCCAGTTGTTTCAAAACCACGTTAACTCTTGATATTAGACTTTCAGTGTTTTGATTTGATGTTCTGTTACTAATGAAGTTGGCTGTCTCTTCATGTGTGTGGTCAGCATTCATATTCCCTCTTCTACAGAGTGCCTTTACTAGTTTTTTACTCAATTTTCTATTTGGTGGTTTGTCTTTTTTTCCTAACATATGAACGAGACCTTTATATATTCCAGAAACAAATGCTTAGTCAAAGATTTCTTCATCCAGTTTGTGGCTTTTCTTTTCATTGTCTTTATGTGACTATTGATGAGCAGAAATTCTTAATTTTAATATAGTAGAATTTATCAATCTTATATTTAAGGCTCGTGCTTTTTACATTTGGTTTAAGATTATCCTTCCATACTCTAATCTCATAGACATATTCTACTGTATTGCCTCCTAAAAGCTTTGTATTTTTGCCTTTCACATTTAGGTTTTTATTCCAATAGTAATTGATTTCTTGTATGGTGCAAGGTAGAAGTCAATTTCATGTTTCTCCTTGTGGGAAACTAATTGTTATAGCATCAAAAGTCTATCCTTTACTAACTCTTCTGCTTTGCTGGCTCTGGCATAATTCAAGTATCCATATATGTGTGTGTCAACTTGAGGGCTCCCTACTCTGCTCCGTTGGTTCATTTTCTACCTTTGTACCAATGCTATAGTTACTATAACTTTAAAATAAATCTTGATGAGGCAAGTTTGTTTGTTTTTTTCCCAGGTGTATCATGGTGGTTTTTGACCCTTTGCTAGATCATATAAATTTTAGAATTAAACTCCACAAAGACACAAAAAGAATATTTGGGGATTTTATTGGAATTATATGAAACCAATAAGTCAACTTGGCGAAAGTTGACATATTTATTGTATCAAGTTCCAATTTCTCTGTATTTATGTAAGATTACTGTAAAAATCTTCCAATACAGTTTTATAATTTTCTCCGTAAATGTTTTTTAAAATTTTGTAATATATTTGTCCCTAGGTACTGTAGTTTTATACTATATAAATGATGTCTTTTAAAATTATATTTAAAAATATACATTTCTGTGTAGAGATACACAATTGGATTCTGTATAGTGGCTTTGAATCCAACAAACTTACTAAACTTTCTTATTAATTGTAATAATCTGTGGATGCTTTGGAGTTTTTATGTTATCGGCAACTATGGCAGTTTCTTTCTTCTTTCCCACTTCTGATATTGTTTTCTTGTCTTACTTCACTGGCTAGGATATCCAGGACAGTGTTGTATAGAGATGGTGACAGTGGATGCCCTTTCAAATTCCTTGATCTTAAAGAAAATGTGTCCAATATCTCACCATTGTATGATGTTTTCTATAGGTTTTTGTAGACATCCTTTATTAGGTGGAAGGAGGAAGTTTCCTTCTCTTCCTAGTTAAGGGTTTTATCACATATGGATGTTGAATGAGATAATCATATGTTTCATATCCTTTAATGTGGACACTGTCTCCTGTCCCCTCTGACCCACCAAACGTGGAAACTAGAGCTCAAGTTCTGGCCCCAACAAATGTCCTTGAGGAACAAGGCAGGTTCAGTGTTCCACTTGCATCTGAGTTCCTGCTTTCACCCACATGTAGGCTTCTCTGAACTTTCTTGCTAGCTTTCTTTACTTTCTTGCTAGCTTGATGTTGTCTTTTTTAAAAAGACATTTTATATTTTATCTAGAAATTTTACTTGTTTCTAGGGATGGGTGGCTCAGTGTATTTAGTCCACTGTACAAGACGTAGAAGTCTTACTTTCTTTTCTGTCAAAATAATGTCCATCACTTCTTTCAAAGCTTCCCTTGAAGTTTGCTTCTTTAGGTTTTCCTTTCTATTATCCGTTGGAAATTTTAACTTCACTAAATCTAGTTGTTTATGTCACTTCCTGACCTTTGCCACTCAACATTCTAATTTTTTAAGAAATTAATTACATTTTTTAAAGATTGAGGCTGACCAGTTGTATGTGCATGCTGTTTTGTTGTCCCTTTAAACATCTTCTTACCTATCTTAGAGACCGTCACATTTTCAGTTCATGAAGACAAAGGGGTGCTTTCTTCTTTTTCTGCCCATCCTAGAATTCTATACTTGCACATTCCAGTTGCTGCGTGCACTTTGCATTCTCTCAGTAAACCTGGGCTGCTTTACAACTCCACCCTTCTATGTTCCTTCTCTACATGAGAGGAAAATTTCTCTTATGAACAAAGCCGAGTCTCACGTAAATGTCTGTGCAAAAACTGAGACACTCCTGGCAAAAAATCCAAATCAGAAGGATACCTCATTCTCTCTCTCTCTTCATTTATAGTAAGCATTCCTGATTCTTCTCTTGATCAACATTTTCTTTTTTCATATGTTATATATTTTCCTATTTATTATGTTTGCTGCTTACTGTCCATCTACCTCAGTAGAAACTAAGGTCCACAGGGTGTGGATCTAATCTGTCTGTGCATGATGAGTCTCAAAAACGGCCCAGCCTTGAGCAGGGGCTCCTTAAACACTTGAGTGACATGCAACATTTGCATAGGCAAATGGCAAAAAAGAAAAGAAAACTCCATGATTTACTTTTCTCAAATGGTTTAATATTTTCTTAATCAGTGATATTTTATTTTATGCTTTTAGATATCAACATGGCAGGGGAACCCAAACCATACAGACCAAAACCTGGAAACAAGAGGCCCCTTTCTGCACTTTATAGGTAAGTATGCAAATACTATTTTGCTATATGTAGTTGTGAAAATTTTTTTGCTACTTTGAAAGGCGATAAAACCTGTAAAGCATCAAATATTTTGAAGAACAATCTTCACTGGCATAAGGTACAGTCGTGTGTCACTTAACAACAGGGATACGTTCTGAGAAATGCATTAGGTGATTTTGTCATTATGTGAACATCATAGGATGTACTTACACAAACATAAATGGTATAGCCCACTACACACCTAGGCTATATGGTACCAATCTTAGGGGACCACCGTCGTATATGTGGTCCTTCATTGATGGAAGCATCGTTATGCTGCCCATGACTGAACAACAAAATATTGGTGGTCAAAACATAAATGTATCACGCAGCATTGACAGGGATATTGGAAGCCTAACTTTCTCATCTCTGCTTAAACAATCCTTCCACAAGATATTTTCTAATAAAATCTAATAAAAATCTCTAATGATTCTACTTGACAAGTGGTGGAAAGGTCAATATTTGTTGACTACTGCATCCCGTGTACTGTGTGTGTTTTACGTGTGTTCTAATTAAATTTTCACAAAATCCTGCAATGTAGATATTGCTATTCTCATCATATTGATCAAGAACCTGATATAAAGCTTCTTAGAGATTTTCCGTAGGTCACAGCATTGGTAAATAATGACACCAATACTCAAACTCATGTTTTCTGATGCCACACTGAATTCTTTCCACCTGGTCGTTCAGTCTCTTTTGTTACAAAGTACATGTTCCTTTCATCCTCATTTCTCCAAAACGTCAAATGCAGACCATCTCTTCTTCAGAGAGACATATCTAACTCCTTTAACCTTTCCTAATATACTTCAGTCTGAGTCAGTTTAATACTCTGAGCTTTTCTCTCTACATGCCCAAATTTATCAGTGTCCACATCTATAATCTCAATTCTAGGTGGCTAGAGTAGATTATATTTAGCATCTTTATTGTTCTACATATACTTCTATTAGATTTTTAAAAATCAGTTGATTTGGGGAAGAAGACAAGAGTAAACTCCTGGAACTTTCGATTCTTTAAAAATAACTACTTTTGGAAAAAAACGTCGTGTTTTGCTGTTAAGCCATATGTCACACTTCATGTACTTTTGCCATTGGTTTTTGTACTGTAAGTGCTGACTTTGCATCTATCTCTGTTAAATTCCCTTTTGTTAGATTTAGCCAATTGTTCCAGGCTATTGAGATCTCCTATCATCCAATTTATTTGGTCCTCTCCCAGACACACATCATTCCATCAGTGTCTGCATCCAAAGAGCTAATGTGAGTGTCAAGCAAGGCCCCCTTTTTTCTTGATACATTTGGATAAAGGAGAATTGAATCATACATGTTAAGACTGATTGTGTTCCGATGTAGTGAAGTAAGAAGAATGCTCAAAAGATAGCTTGGAGCCCTTTCATTTTCTTTGTTCTCTGAAAACTAGCATATCTTCTTTTCAGCTACTCATTGCTTCATTTCCTGAAGTAAAAAATAAGAGGGTTGGAACTAGATGAGTTCCACACCTAACACCCTGGGGCTCTCTAATGTATGGCCATGAGAGATCTTAAAAGATATATTGGAGATATATCTTAATTGTTCTTATTATTTTGGCTATGTCAATTTATTTAATTTTAATAAAAAAGATATAGAAAGATGGAAAGCTACAGGACTTGAAAAATGTTGATAATTGGTCATAAGGCAGTACTGATGTTAAAGGTCAGAGAGAAAGTGATCAACAAAAGGCAAATGATACTTTCTGTACCTTTTTTGAGGTAAAGAACAATGTTTATAAAACAGAGAAATGCAAATTATTTTTGATCAAATTTATTTTTAAATGTATGTGTGGAGCTGCAGCTAATGCAGAAGATTTGAAAAGTCGCATTTTCAAGTATTAACAAAACAAGCTGGCAATAGCTTTTTTTCTCATGAAAGAGTTACCACTATCTGTGTAATGATGTTAATTTTCCTATTTTCCCTGTTCTTGGAGTGTTTTGATTTTTTTATGAGAATAGAAGTTTATGACAAGAAGCAAATGTCTTTTTAACTGTTATTTCTCTATTACTAAGTAATGTTGAATTGTGAATTCAAAAGAATTAGAAACAGAAGTTCATTTAAATCTGATATATTGTACACAAATCACATTAGTGGGGAGATGTTTATTTATCCTGTTTTCATCTGTCTACACAGATGAGGCTGGGGTGCACTCAAATTTCAAAACAATAACAGAGAGAAAAAAAGGAGTGAACGTGCAGCAGAGAAAGCCCTGTTATACACGCTTTCTCATTCCTACAGGAGCTTAATAACCGTGATACCTTACTTTTATGTAGACAAACTGCGTTTTCAGAGTCATTATTCGTCTGTTCACTACAGAACTCTGCAAGGTTGTTATTATGTGCTTTACTTTATAGACGAGAAAACTAAGTTTCCAAGACAATAAAGGATTCACCCAAAGTCAGATAACACGATTGGGAACTGAACTCTGGGTTTCAGCCTTCAAGTCTAATGATCTTGCCACTAGACCACAGCTCCCCATGTTTACTCACCTGCTACCATTTAAACAATACGATGATAAAAAGCAGAGATTCCTGCCCACGAGAACCAATGGTCAGTTATATTTCTGTCCACAAATCCCATACCAGCAGGTGGCAAAGGAAAGACTATACACTATACACAGCCCAAGAATGAGAGCGACCGCCTATTTGTGTGAGCAGAGGGCGCAGATTTTGAACTTCAAGTTCTTTATCTAACACAATAGTTGCATAATTTTCTTGATAGGGTAAGATTGCATAATTGGGGTGAAAGTACCTGACTCAGGGTAGGGAACGTGGTAGCAGCTTGAAAAGGGCTGGTTTCTACTTTGCAGTTCTTTGCATCTTTGGGTCTGTTCCCTTCTCTGTAAAATGAGTGCTGGAACGATTTCATTGTTCATTCACTCATAGACATGAGACATGTGCACTGTCGACCTGCTATGGTTTAGCACTGTGGTAGCTGTGCTTCTAGGCAGATGGCACAGAAGATGCCAAGGCTGCCAGGCAGGGAGAGACGATAACGAAATAAAAGTAGAATATTTTTACAGTTATTGGTCACCTCTGCCTTGCCTCCAAACGGCTATGTCTTTGCGTCTATTCGCTCCGTAAATAGATGTAAATTATACGCCATCAGACTGTCGTCTTCCTTATGTCCATTGTATCTCCATCATCAACCACATGGAGTACCCACTGAGGCGTCACTTTGCTTTGTCATTTATTTATTTATTTATTTATTTTAGATTTTTTAAACTTTTTTCCTTTTTCTCCCCAAAGCACCCCGGTACGTAGTTGTATATTCTTCGTTGTGGGTCCTTCTAGTTGTGGCATGTGGGACGCCCACTACATAGTTGTGTAGCCTTCGTTGTGGGTCCTTCTAGTTGTGGCATGTGGGACGCCGCCTCAGCGTGGTCTGATGAGCGGTGCCATGTCCGCGCCCAGGATTCGAACCAACGAAACACTGGCCCGCCTGCAGCGGAGCGCGCGAACTTAACCACTCGGCCACGGGGCCAGCCCCAGCTTTGTAATTTATTTTAATAGGACTTTTAGTTTAGCCAAAAAACCTTCACTGAGTGTTTATCATGTGGTTTAATTAACATGGTACGCATAGAAGACACAAAATTTTTTTAAAAACATAGAAAAGCTTCAAAATATTTACTGTCTTATGCACATATAATTAAGGAACATAAATAAAATATGCATATAGTTCTATAAGAAAATAAATGAGAGTTAACTGATTCTGCCTAGGGGAAGAGAGTGAAAATCTGGATGACAACTGAGCCAGCTTCTGAGTGAGCAGGCCTTCATTCAGCATACAAAGGGAAAGAAGGGCATGGGGGCAAAGAAAATGTGTGCCAAGGCAAAGGCACCAAGATAAAGAAGAATGTCTCCTGGTGGGAACTATGATAGCCTACTTGCTGGAGAACAAGTAACTGGAACAATGTGGCAGCCTGGATATGAGGATCTCTAAGTGCCTGCTCATCAGCTTAAGGAGATTTGGCTTTCATTCTGCAGGCAACAAGGCACCATTTGAATATGGTGAGTGGTTGGACATGGGGTGTAAGAAAGAGTGAGAGTCACAGATATGTCCAAGATTTCTAGCTTAGGCAAGTAGGGGAAGGATCACGTGATTCTGATAGGAGAAAGAGGAAGGTCATGATATGCAGCAGCGGGCTCTGATGGTGGGGAAGGAAGCAAAAAGAAATCATTTCAGTCTTGGACACGAATTTATAAAGACAGACAATTCATTAAAATAGCACTTGCAATAAAAATGTCTCCCATTAGAGGCTATTTGTAAATGAAACATAATTAATCATTTGTGAACATTCCATAAATATTAGACCTAGCCCCAATAGTGAATAGCAAATCCATTCTCTAGGGAAAATATTGTAACTTTTAATAAATTGCTGCTTCGAATGTGCAACGTACTTTACACAGTGTCTATAGTGCTCTAAGGTAATAATTCTCCCCCAGGAAGTGAATTTCCCAGAATGCCAAGTTCCAATTAATGCTAAATAATTGCTAAAGGAGAATAATTGTATGATGGTTTTGCTTGTGCATGTAAAGGGAGACAGATCTTTCCTCTCTGATGTAAGTAAAGCCAATAAGCAGAGAACAAAGATAATGTTTATCAGAGCTGAACAAGTCCAGGTTTTCATTCACCAAGAGGCAGCCCTCCAGTCACGGGGAGCACAGCTCAGTAAGACACATAAAACATCCAGTTTCATCCCACTCATTGCATGGATATTACTAAGTATCCCATCCAAATAGGGTTTTATGGCTGTTATACAGATGCCTTTCATAGCAACCCTGCCACCCCACACAGATGACCATGACAATCAAGATTGTCACTGCAAGCAACCTCAAGACTCCTTAAGATGTCTAAAGCATAACTTATAGTATCACCATTTTAAGATCACCACAATTGGCGGTGGTAGCCGTGAATGCAGGTTGTATTATGACAACT